GTAACTGTTTGATATCAAGGCAAAGACCCAGAGAAATGTCGCTAAAGACACAGCGCCTAACCACCCATGGGCACGAACGCCAGTGGCCTCGAATCCGATTCGAGGCTCGCAAACCGCGCCTTGCACTCGGGAGTCGAGGCAGGCATTACCTTGCCGAAGTGGCGGAATCGGTGTGTTTCTACGTGTCTGCATCTCGGACCCGTTAAATATGAGGTGACAGGAAAGAACTGGGAAGCCATTTTCGGCGTGTCTTGTTTTTGAGGGCACCCGTGTTTAGGCGGTGTTCAAGGGGAACCAAACAAAAAAAAAGGACTTTTTGTTGCGGGCACCCCAAAAAAAAAGGCGAGCCGCCCATGTTTGATTCGGGTTCGAGGTGGACTCCAGGTAAATCATGGAACTCCCAGAAGCTCATTCCCTTTCAGCATTTGAATCCCCGAAGAAGAAGAAGAACAGAAAAATATACAGCAATCAGCTTAGGGAAGAGAATGAGCCAGCAAGCTATTCCTTCCTTATAGGAACCAGTGACAAGCCATTAGAATTGGGACCCGGGATTCGTAAACCGTTGTTTATCCACCAGGTGTTGACAATACTTGGGCAGGGCAGGTGTGGTCAAAACATGGGAACCTCCCCCCCAAAAAAATGGCTGGGTGTTCCTTTGCTTTTCCTTTCACCAACCAGCATCCCCCAACAACGAATTTTTGGTACGGTGGGACCTGGGTGCTGGTTGAGCCCTTGGGAGGATCTGCCAGAGGCCCTTCGCTTTTTCTGGATGGGATCCTTTGGAACGGGCTCCTCCCTGCTGAGAAACGCACGCAGGTTTTGGTGGGGCTTGTGGCTCAAAATCGTTGGTTTCCCTTGAAACCAACCCAAAAATGGATATATTGGATCCGCAAAAACGGTTGGGCCCCCCAAAAAGGGTGGTGCCCCCCAAAAACGGTGGGGCCCCAAAAATCGGGTGGGGCCCCCAAACAGGGGCCCAAGCTCGCAAGAGAAACCTGCGCATTGCCTTTGCTCCGAAGGGCTCAGCGCCACAGCCGCCACCTCGATCTTTTCCGCGGGGTGCCGCTCGTTGAACTCGAGAAAGGCCTCTCTCGAGGGCGCGGTGCCGAGCTGCCAAGCTGCCGAAAATGCAAAGTCCGGGAATTTGGCCGCGCCAACCGAACGAAATTTGTTAGGGGGGCAATACCCCAATTTGTTTGCGGGGGGGGGGAGTTATACTCTTAAACCGAAATCATTCCATTTGGGGGGGAGACAATACACCAGATTGTATGGGTTCGAGGGTCCAGGAACACCCAAATCAGAATGGGGCCAGTGGCCAAAGCTCCGAACTAAGCATTGGCCAAATAATGGCAGTGCACATGATGCTCTGATCTTCCTGACTCCTCAGTGCAGGCACCCGAACGTTTGCGGACAGCAGCATCCTTTTCGTGAAGACCCTTCCTTCCTCTGAGCAGGCAAACCGGCAAACCCCATTGGGATCCCAGGTCGCAAAAGAAAACCGCCAGGGCCTCCTAGCGCCCATGAAAAGAAGCCCCACGAAGTGGAGTTAACCTTAGGGGGTTAGACAGGAAGCAGGAAAATAGCGACTGGAAATACACGGGGTGTCCCAGGTAGGGAACACATCTAAACCAGCGCCATCTATGTTTAACCAACCTAAAAGGACACCTGTCAATGAACCATTCAGCAAACCCACGGTTTCTGCATTCCCAACTTCAGCTTGGAGAAAGGAAGCGGAACTGAGTACTTCACAACTGGTGCGGCGTGCGGCGCATCTGATAAGCAGCCATCCCCTTGATTGCCTCACGAAGCACAAAATGCACATGCAACATCAAACATTCGCCGAGCGCCTGCAGCAAACTACCTGGACCCTCAAACTATTCATCAACATGTGGTCCCCAGCATGGGGCGATCCCCAGCAAGAGTAGTTCGAGGGTCCGGGTATACGCGAGCGTTGCCTTTCTTGCCTCTTGGTTCGGTGCTTGAATTCTCCTTCTGCTTTCGCCATGAGAATCGGCCGCGAAAGATGGTTTCCCTTTGGGTTTTCTTGAACTAGCAAGCAAAACTGGGCCGTCCACTGATTCCCGCTTAACAGTTTCACTGCTTAGTGCGTTAAGTGGAAACACCCTACCAAGCCGTAAAACTGACTAAAGACCAAAGGGGAACGCACGGCTGGTTGAGCTGCCAAGCTTAGGTTGTCCCTTAACCAAGCAAAAGACGTCCAAATGCGACTCAGATTCGGGATTGGCGGGGGGGGGTTCTCGAAATCGTGTCCTGAGCAGGTTGGTCTCCCTGTTGGTTTCCCCTTCACACAAGCCAAAGGAGCTCCGCCACTCTTCAGCTTCCCCTTCGAATGTATGGGTTGGAGCCGAATCGGTGCTTTGGAGGTGAAGCCGGGGGTGGTTTCCCATGGACAACCTACAAGGGCTGCGAATCCAGAGCCAAACTAATCCAAACCACCAACTAAGGCTTGTCTGGACCCTCAAAACTCCCTTATTCTTGCCCGGAAGTTCATAGGGTGCTTTCCCTTTTCTACAGGTAGTTTGAGGGTGCAGGTACCTGAGTTAGGGGATAGGGGCACTGAAATCGGCCAAAAATGGCTCTGAAGGTGTGTGTTCGGTTCCCCTAGGCCTGCCAAAAGCACCCAACAACACACAGACAGACAGACAGACACACAGAGACACACAGAGACACACAGACACACAGAGACACACAGAGACACACACACACACATGGAGTCTCCATGACCTTCAATGGTGTCATGAACTCATAAACCCTCATTCTGAGTGGGCCCATTGTTTCAGGTCGGAAGTGTACCTCCTTTTGGGACCCTGTACGCAAAAAAAGAACCAAATTGCCAGCACCCCAACCACTGCTTTTTTGGTTACAGTACCAAGGAGATCTTGGACTTGGCTGAAGCAGAAAAGTTGGGGTGGGTGGTATCCGTCCCCCTTTTTCATTTCGCCTTAGAAACCTCCAAAAAAGAGAGAGGGTATTTCGGGTCCCCAAGAAACCGCGGTTGATTCCCCATTCTTTCAAACCATTGTTCTATTAAAAAATGGCTGTTTCCCCTTGGGGCTTTAATGGCTTCCTGAAAAGATTGGGATCCCTGGAAAGAATGGGGAAGGAAGCTACCCTAGAATTTGGTCAGATCCAAATGGCCCTGGCGACTCGCCCCGCCGACTCGTCTCTCGACTCGCCTCCGCCCAGGCAGGGACGAAGCGTCCGCCGTAGGACTCGCTGGCGAGGACCAGCGGGGCGCTGCGGTGCTCCGGGAAGAGGTCCCGCCAGCCACGGAGGAACCTCGCCCGTTCGACTCGCGTCGCTTCGAATTCCTACGCGGTGGCTCGGCTTTGGAGAATACCCCAAAATGATGTGATTTGTTGGCCAAACAAGGCCCCAAAACTGGAAAAAGCGAGTCTTAGCCCGGGCGACTAAACTGAAAAAAAAAGTTTCGCTTCGCTAGTAAATGGGGTATAAAACCCATGGAACCCACTTATGTCTAAACAAACTCACCTTAAAAAGGACACCTCAAGTTTCAGCTTCTTGGACGCCAAACTGCCCGAATAAAAGGGGAAATCGTGAATCTCAATTTGTTGGTTTTTAGGCGGGTAATTTCAGGGTTCAGCTTCCTTCCAACTTGTCTGGAGCCCGGTTTGGTGGTGACATTCGGGCCAGGGCTCCAAATCCCACCAATCCAAACAACCAACTACGACTTCCCTGAAAGTTGTCCAGTTACCACTAGCCTCCCATCGTGGAAGTGGGCTCCAGAAGCTTCCAGAGGAAAGTATTCGAGTGGGGTTAACAACTTGTGAGGGGCTGAACACACCAATGGGCTAACCACTCAACTTGGCAACGAAGATCCAAGTACTGACAACCGCTCTCTCAACCATGTCCAAATTCCCTTTGTACGGAAACCAACAAACAGTGGCTGGAATCAATCCGGCTCCTGGGACACACGTGCTTTTGTTTCTTCCGGTTGGCATGAGACCATGTTGAAAAGAACCAAAAACGGATGGCAAAAGATTGGAAAACAAGGACACGGTGGATTGACAAGGTTCATCCATCCCTGCCCCCTGTATAGAACAGGGTTGATTCCCTTGAACAAAAACAACAACGACCAATTTTCAGTGATCTATTGCCTTTAACACCAGGGAAAGATAACAAGAACCGCTACAAGGACCCCAAGCACTGGCTTTTCACACAGGTCCCTGATTTCCTCGAGTCAAAAAAACAAAACTCTACTAGACCACGGTTGGCCCGAAAGCATCACAGCCCCGTGACCATTCTGCGCAAGTTGCTCTGGGCAAGGTGCTTTGCGCAAACTGGTCTGTGCAAGTTGCTCTGCGCAAGTTGCCCTGCGCAAGTTGCTCTGTGCAAGTTGCTCCGTGCAAGTTGCTCCGTGCAAGTTGCTCCGTGCAAGTTGCTCCCTGCAAGTTGCTCTGTGCACGCTGCTCTGTGCAAGTTGCTCTGTGCAAGTTGCTCTGCGCAAGTTGCTCTGCGCAAGTTGCTTTGTGCAAGCTGCTCTGTGCAAGAAGCTCTGTGCAACTGACTCTGTGCAAATGTCTCTGTACAAGTTGCTCTGTGCAAGTTGTTCTGTGCAAGTTGCTCTGCGCAAGCTGCTCTGCGCAAGTTGCTCTGCGCTCTGCGAAAATTGCTCTTGTGCTCTGACTTGCTCTGCGTGCTCAAGCGCTGCTCTGCGCAAGTTGCTCTGTCGCGCGCAAGTTGCTTTGCGCAAGTTGCTCTGTCAAAGTTGCTCTGCACAAATTTCTCTGCGCAAGCTTCTGTGCTTGCCCTGTGCAAGTTGCTCTGCGCAAGTTGCTCTGCGCAAGTTGCTCTGGGCAAGGTGCTCTGCGCAAACTGGTCGGTGCAAGTTGGTCTGCGCAAGTTGCTCTGCGCAAGTTGCTCCGCGCAAGTTGCTCCGTGCAAGTTGGTCCCTGCAAGTGGCTCCCTGCAAGTTGCTCTGCGCAAATTGCTCCGTGCAAGTTGCTCCCTGCAAGTTGCTCTGTGCAAGCTGCTCTGCGCAAGTTGCTCTGTGCAAGTTGCTCTGCGTAAGTTGCTCTGCGCAAGTTGCTCTATAGAGGCAAGGCGCTCTGCGCAAAATGGTCTGTGCAACTTGGTCTGCGCAGGTTGCTTTATGCAAGTTGCTCCGTGCAGCTTGCGAAGCACCGCGGACCAGGGGGGACTCGAACAAAAAACCAAGTTTTTGCACCTCGACCACGCCGATCCCCGCAGAGGGTCGCGCGAGCACCGCAGAAATCGTTCAAAACCCCAAGGTTTTGCACCTCGACCACGCCGATCCCCGCAGAGGGTCGCGCGAGCCCAAACAAAATCGCAAGAAACCTCGAGTTTTTGCACCTCGCAGAAGGTCGCGCGAGCGCCGCAGAAATCGCAAAAAACCTCGAGTTTTTGCACCTCGACCACGCCGATCCCCGCAAAGGGCCGCGCAAGCCAAAACAAAATCGCAAAAAACCTCGAGTTTTTGCACCTCGCCCTAAGAAGAGATTTTAACTCCTCGCAAGTCAATTGCACTTGACGTCATTGCAAGGAGTCATTGCAAGGAGTCATTGCAAGGAGTCATTGCAAGGAGTCATGAGAGTCAGGGAAAAAAACATATTAAAAACTCTTATCCCAGGATGGTTTCATTGCAAATCCAAGCGGCGGTCTTCATAAGAGTGAGGTCCCCCAAAAACATGCCCCTTAAGTGTATGAGGTCTCAGGTGTGTACACCGCTGCAAATTGTTGCTGGCTGCTGCTGCTGCTGGCTGCTGCTGCTGCTGCTGCTGGCTGCTGCTGGCTGCTGCTGCTGCTGCTGCTGCGCTGCTGCTGCTGCTGCTGCTGCTGGCTGCTGCTGCTGCTGCTGCTGGCTGCTGCTGCTGCTGCTGGCTGCTGCTGCTGCTGCTGGCTGCTGGCTGCTGCTGGCTGCTGCTGCTGCTGCTGCTGCTGCTGCTGGCTGCTGCGGCTGCTGCTGGCTGCTGCTGCTGCGGCTGCTGCTGTTGGCTGCTGCTGCTGCTGCTGCTGCTGGCTGCTGCTGCAACTCATTGCTGGGATCGGCAGAAACAAAGAAAATGCAAACTACAGAAATGTACAGAAATGGGCCACTCCTGATCCAAGGCATCTACGACTTGCGCGCGACTTGCGCGCGACTTGCGCGAAAACTTAGCAATCTTCCGGATTCTTTCGACCATGCGGATGATGATGATGATGATGATGATGATGATGATGATGATGATGAGTCACTGCGTCACTTGCGCTTCACTTGCGCTTTACTTGCGCGGCCCCATGTTTGACTTGCGCGGCCGCTCCTGCAACACACTCCTGCCATTCAAATTACAAGCGGCGGTGCAGCTAATTTGATAGGTCCAAAATACCTGGGATCATGCCTGACATTGACACATTCAACGGGTTTTTTCGACTCAAGTGCAAGTTGCAAGTGCACGGAGTCAAGTGCAAGTTGCAAGTGCAAGGAGTCAAGTACAAGTCGCAAGTGCATGGAGTCAAGCGCAAGTTGCAAGTGCAAGGAGTCAAGTGCAAGTTGCAAGCGCAAGGGTCCTTGCAATGACTTTCATGATGATGATTCCTTGCAATGACACCTTGCAATGACTTTCATGAGAACAACTCAAGTGAACCCAGCGGAAGAACCCTTCGCCGTGCTTTCGGGAACTAGTGTCCATTGAACGGGTCGCAACTTGAGGTCTTGAGGCTCCCTGTAAAGGGACATGGCTCAGCAACTCTGTTTCAACCATACCAAAATACCTCAAATGGTGGCTAGGGACCTGAGTACTCCCACTGCCTTGAATCGGCATAACGAACAATTCCAAGCTCAACAAGTGGCCCCAAGACCCAGTGCCAGTCCTTTCAAAAGCCTCTGAGACCGAACCTCCCCCCCGTTTTCCCCTCCGCCTTTTCCCCCTCCGAACCACGCATCCGTTGCGCGGGCTCTCTTTCGCGACCTCTCGCGCGAAAGAGCTCGCCGGGGCCCCCGGCTGCACCATGTCCTTGGCCGCATCCTGAGAACTCAGCACGAAGGGCCCGGAGCCGGTGGAGTACCCCGTATACCTCGGAGACACGGGCGCGGCCTTCCAATCTTTTTCCGGGCAGGGCCCCTCCTGTGGTGACACGTCCTGAGTTTATATATATATATATATATATATATTGTTTTTTGTTTGTTTTCTATTTATCTATTATCATTTTTTTGTTTCGGGCGGTAGCCCTCTTTTTGGTGACAAGAGGGGAAGCCCAGAGGAAAACCGTCACACTGTCTCGCACTTACATGGCACCTCACAAGATCCCAAGAGGAAAAACTGATCTTCCAAAGACCGTCTCACAGGTGCCATTTCAGTGGGAGGAAGGCTAGGCCATGTTGGGTCCGATTCGCAAAAGAGACACAGCCACATCTGTGAGGGACCTGAAGTCTCCTGACCCAACTGCCACTCTGCCCGTGAACGAGTTGGGGTCCGAATCCCTTTCACCCATGCCATTGAGGTGGCATGAGCAAAAAGGCCGACATCTCCAGGAAATTCAGGGCGAAGACTTGGAGACCGCCAACGGGTGAATAGCTCGCGCCCCAAGCGCTGGACACACTATATGGCCATGGGACAAAATCACGGTTAACCCCCAGTGAACATCCCAATCCCCACGAAAATGGACTAAAATGGGTGGTGCACCTAGCCCAAAATGGTACCACTGGTTTCGACCCACAGCCATATGCCTTTAAACCCAAAATCGCCCAAGCCTCTGCAACACTCAAACCAAAAATTGATTCAAGGGGTCACTGGCTTTCTCCTTCAACGTTGCAATTCACCAGTCTTCATTGAAACTGGTTCCGAAAAGGGAAGTGGAGAAAACCGTCAACCCTTGACTCAATCTGAAGTCCGTGCACCAAAGCGAAAACACAATGCGCCCAAAGCAAGAACTGCAAACGGATCTTCACCCTTCAAACCATATATGTATACTTCAATCATTCCTGGAGTCTCCATGACCCTAACAAAATCGGGTCATTTCCCGAAATTAAGGGGTCATTGAGCCAATTGTTTAAGGGTCATGGAGACCCCAGGTATACTTCAAACATATTAAACATAACCACTATAAAGTCATATCGGCTCGCAAAACACTGCCTTACTTGGGAGTTCCGCTGACTTAAGTTGTAACCTGGCTTATGACCCACTCAAGTCAGGTGGCGAACAACTTGGCCACGAAAGATCCAAGGCAACCTCTGGCTACGTGGATCCAAGTTCAAGGTCATGTCAAGGACCCGTGGTCCGGCAAGCCTGGAATGTGTGCCTGGAATGTGTATGTCTGAGCCCGTTGACCAATGCAACATGCTTGGTACCACAATTGGGAAACTGCCTCTGAATTTCCATCCTGCTAATCCAAGCCTTGGAATGTGAGCAAAAACAAATCTCTTATTGCAGCCACCCCGCGAAATATGAACCCAACAACTACAGCAAAAAAAGAAGAAGCAAACACATCTGGGTCTGTCATTTTCAAGGGTGCCCCTTTCTTGTGGCTTTGTAAAGGAAACCAGAAAGGACAACCACCGTTTTGAGGAGCCCCCGCACAAAAAGAAAAGAAAAGACCCAAACAAGAAGCCAACAAAAAAACAAAAAAGGAACCAAGCAAGAAACCAAAAAAGAAGCCGGCCCAAACAACAAACAACATTTTGGGGAGCCCCCCCCAACCAAAAAAAAAACGACCCAGGCTCCAAGTGCCAGGATGCCTGGGCTGGTCCACGAAGAGCAAATGCGCCCGCTTGCTCCAGGCGAAGTGGTTGCGCGCAAAGTGGCCTGCCGTTTTGTGTGAGTCGGGGGTCCGGCCTTTGGGGATGCTTCTCAAGAAATGGGGGACTCAACCAACAAGGTTTGCTTCTTTAGGGGACCTAAACTGGACAAATAGATGGTTTCTTTTTCTTGTAGATGGGTGGCATGAAACCCATCTAAACCAGTGGAACCCATTTCTAAACGAACTGACCGATCAAAAGGACACCTGTCTTTGTCTCCTTTTGGTTTACCTCTGAAACCGCTCCCAAAGAACCCCTTTTTAAGAAACACCCCTTTGGAAGAAACTCCCTGGGTGGCACTGCAAACTTCAAACCAGTCTGCCTCGAAGCGCGACCGCAGGGGAGAAAAGACAATAGTTGTGGGCTATCGTGGAATCCCATTTGGGGGAGTGGCATGTTGTAGTTGAGAGCCCCTTTCGGGTTCCTTAGAGTTGCCTAGGGTTCCTTAAAAGCTTCTAAAGAGCCTTAGGGACCCCGCCCCCTCTGACCTGAATTTAGCACCCAGTCTTCGCCCGCGAAAACCTCCGCTTCTTGAGGGTTCCTAGGGAACCTTTCTTGACCACTCCGCCCCAAGTTTAGCACCCGGTTCATCTGCAATTCGCCCCCCCCCCCCTGTAGGGCTGCTTGGGGTTCCCTGCGGTTTGAGGGAACCTCCTGCACCCTCCGAATGGGACGCCCGCCTTTGAAGCCTCCGACCTTGATGCCCTCCAGGATCAACCTTGGTTCAAGATGGCCATGGGTCAAAAATCCCGTACCCCGAGTGAACATCCCAATCCCACCACTAAAGTAGGTTCTAAAATGGGTGGTGCACCTACCCCAGAATGATACCATTGGTTTTCCCACAGCCAGGCAGCGGAATCTCCCAGCAACTGACTGTGGGTATGATCCAGTTTCCCTTTCCAACCTCCAAGGAAAGACGTGCCACCCTTGGCGAGGCGTTCTTTCTCTTCACCAAAAGAAGACACACTCCTACGACCCCCCCAAAATGGTTCCTTTGGGGTTCCCTTCAAAAACTGACCAAAAAACAAAGATGACCCCGGCCATCTTCAAAGGCTTGCGAAACCCCAAAAAATCGATCGACATCAAAACAACCTCGCGGGTGTTGTCAAGAACACCGACGAAACCAAGGGGTACCAACCAGCTCCCACCCCGGGCAGTGGATAGACCGACTTCGAAAACGTGGCTCGGTTGTCATCGCCGCGCTCGCGCCATAGGTGGCCTTTTGGAAACATCGCTGGCCCTGGCAAATGGAATAAACCACCAGGTAAGCCAGGGCCATTCATTTTTCGAGCAACACCACAAGGACACCTCTGGCGCTCGCGCTCGCGCTCGCGCGTTGAGTCAGGGGGGCGGTCCGATCTCCGTGGCAGCCCCTTCCATGGAGGTGCAGCCCGGCCCCCCGTTGCTCCACAGGATCAGCGGCGCGTTCTCCGCCTCTGGGTGCTCTGACTTCACCTCGGAGATGCTCGGATCGGGTCTCGGGGTGCGAGGGGACTTGGGGGGAGGGATGCAGGTATGGCCTAGTTGGAAAATCATGTTCAGGAATGATGGGCTGAGCAGCCTAAACCAAATGTTGAGGGTGAGGAACACTACAGGGTGAATAGGTTGAATAATGCATGTTGCGGGTTGTGAATAGGGTGAGAGCACCCCAAGCTGAGTCCGTTTTCCCCATGTTTTAACCAGGATGACAAGGGTGAAGCCAGTAAACCCCACTAAGCAAGCGTGAGCGGCCGAGTGGGGATCATGGGGCATACAGTCTGCAAATGCCGTTGGGTACCATGCCTCTTGTACTTGTGCAAAGGGACAATCGAGTGGACATGTGACCTATGTACGGAGATTGAAGGGACCCCTGCTAGCAAGTCCAAGGGTAGCTGGAGGCCCCAGTCACGCAACAAACTGGTTCAATTTGATCTGATACGTTCGTACTAATTTGTATGATCAAAGGGTTGGGATACAGGAAAATCTACAGGAAAACGGCTTATGAAGGGTGTTTTGGGTCCATTTCCTGTAGTTTTTCCTGTAACCAAACCCTTTGATATAAGGACCCTGCTTGAAAGTGGTGGACAGAAGTTCCCTAAATGATGTCCACCATCGTTGAAAGTGAAGTAACACCTTGGGAGTTCGGCATAAGGAAACCTACGATGTGAGGGAAGAACACAAATGAACACACGTGAATTGAAAGAGACCCTGGCTGGGTCAATCAATGACTTTCGCTCCCAGACACATTTCCAAGAAGTAAAAGGGTTGATGCCAACCATTCTCTTTACCCATCGTTCTCTTTAGAAACAACTAGTTCCCTAGGGAAACTAAATAATTCGCCCATTGTTTGAAGAGAAGGCTCCCTGAAGAGAATGACATAAAGGTACAACCAGAACCTTGCGCTTGACGAACACACTTAAAACAATGTGAACTGCAACAGGCCATGGTTGGTTCGATTCAAAGACTTGTCTTCTTTCCTTGGGCCCAGACTTATTTGTTCAATCTTCAAGGACCAACCTGGGTGTAAAAAAAAACAAACAAAAAAAACTAAAATAAATACCCCTCCGGTTAAAAGTCCCACCAAAGTCACGAACCAGTAGAACAGGAAGTCCTGGTCCGTGACGTTCACGTAGCCTGGGACCCGCTCGCCAAGGGCTCAAACATGCCAACTAAACAGAGAAGGCTTGGTGAAAAAAAACAAATTCAAGCATACAAAAGGCATACACAAGCGCATAAGGCTTGGTGAAAAAAAACAAATTCCAGCATGCATACATAGATATGCGTATGTATGCGAATGTGTGCGTAAAATAGTATTCTCATATATTCATGTGTATGTACATATGCGGTACGTCGGTACGTCGATCAGGTTTGGGCATATCCAACACGCAGATTCGAAGCCCTCAGGAAGCATCTCCAAGCTAATGACAAGCGCCTCTGGCCTTTGGAATGGAAAGAAATGGCCTAGAACGCAACTCTGCAAAGCAGTGCTGGCGGAAGCACGTGAAGAACAACATATGCCAAGGTGGTATCCCCAGCCCCTTCCGGAGCCCTCCTTTTGAAAAACCACCAACCAGATCGCCTATCTGGGCCTATCGACTACACAGCTTCCAGCTGTTGGGGGAAAACAAGTTGGCACGCGGGTCTGCCTTTGCATGTTTAATGAATTAGACAAGTGTGCATTTAAAGTCATGGACAAGTTCCATTGTGCACCAGTCAGTCGGTAAGCAGTCGGTGCGAAGAGGATTTGTCCACAGTCCAGGGGTCCCTACAGTTCCTCTGTAAACAGCAGCAGCAGGGAAGCTCACCCATGGGCCCAAAGGACTTTTACAGGGAAGTCTAGTTGGCTGTTCGGGCAAGTTAGTTAAGTATCCTAGGTTAGAACCCACTTAGTACTTGGGCCCACTTCCCCTTCGGACAGCCAAATTCCATCGCCTGAAGTCTCCGCAGCAACCAGGAAGCAAATACGTATCTAGCGGTTGAAGCCAACAATTATTGTTCAACCTTTAGATTGTAAACTTTAGAAAAAAAGGATCCCCTGAAAGAATGGAAAAGGAAGGCACCCCTCAGAACTCACTGGTGGGCTTGCCTATCTCCACCTGATGGGCGCCAATTCGCATGTTACTTGTCAAACCCATCACCCGAATCCTCCAACTGCCTGGCCAATATGGACAACTCATCAGCTTGGGCAAAGCTTGCAAACACATCACTCCGTTGCAAGCATCTCCTGTGTTCCACTGCGCCAGTTGGGTTAAAAATGGTGCAACCTTCCCTGGATTCCTGCTCCTAGGACAGCGTCTGCCATCTACCCTCACCCAACGGCAACTTAACCAGCACCCCCGCCCCCAACCACTGATTGTTGGACAGTACTTGGGATTCTGGACATGGGAAAAGGGCAGTGGTTGGGTGCTGGAACTGAACATAAACGGCCTCTGAATAAACATGAGGCACTGGCTACTACAACCGCAAATCCAAAGAGTCCATCTGCTTGACCGATCTTCCTTGCACACCTCACGCACCTCTTCCGGGTAGTGCAACTCCCAGCACATCCATCAGCATTCGCAGAGTGCTCTGCAAAGTTGCATGGACCGAAACAAAGAAACAGCGGGCCGGCACCCCCAACCATGTCCAAAATCCCAGGTGTGCACAAACAAGTGGTTGGGACCCGGGTGTTGGTGTTTTTCTTAATCTCCTGGAGGTAAAACCAATTGCGAACTTCCCCTTCCACATGGAAACCAGGTCCCTCGGAGAATCCTCCTCACCGTGAACCCCCCCCGATGGATTTCAACGCAAACAAAAAAATCCAGGCAAGCCACCTAGTAGATAACCAGGGCAAACGTAAAACCTGGAGCCGGGAATCCCTGGTTGCATATTGTAGTGCTAACTGGAAGCACTGGGTGCGGCCCCTTCTTGTGTTGGCAGTTGATTGTAAAAAGTTGTGTCAGGTACCTTTCTCTGGCAGGTGATGATAAAAAGTTTGGCCCTCCAAAACACAAATTAACCCAAAACGAGGCACTGGGGATACGTCTCCAAAAAAGGAAACATAAAGCAAACGTCACCACCGGCTTGGCAGGTTAGGGAGACACTCCAGCCAAGTGGCCGCTGAACATCTTCAGGTGCTCGGTCGCGCCGAAGGTGTCTGGGAAAACGACCGGGGCCTGCCGAAGAAAGCGGAAGACGAGAACACAATGCAGGAAATACTGCTCTGAAGTCTGGATCGATAAACATAAGTTATCACCACCAGCAGCAGCACCAGCAGCACCAGCACCAGCAGCAGCACCAGCAGCACCAGCACCAGCACCAGCAGCAGCACCAGCACAGCCTCAGCCTCAGCCTCAGCCTCAGCCTCAGCCTCAGCCTCAGCCTCATCATCATCATCATCATCATCATCATCATCATCATCATCATCATCATCATCATCATCATCATCATCATCATCATCATCATCTAGGAGGCAGCACGTTGGGCGAACAACTAGTTGCTTTGGTGTCACCAAGGTGCTGCTCTTGCAGACTACCACCCTATATACAAATCGATCTGCAAAAAAGGGGTTCCCTAAAAAAGATTAATCCTCCACTTACTAGAAGCTTGGCAAGAATGGATCATCAAAACCATGGGCCCCCCTGAGAAATACTAATTGCACTCGTTTAGTTAGTGCTTCCTTGTTGTGCCAAGGTGCACCCTTTTGGGGGGGGGTCAACTCTGTTACCAGGACCAAGGGAATCCAGCTCAATCTCAAGGTGTGGCTTGCAGGGCATCAGTCATGAGGTCTATGGCAGGCCATTCCAGCTTCCAAAATGGAGGTGTATTCAAATGAGGTGTGCCTTTTTGGATTGTTTTCCAAGGGAACCAACTCAAAAAGACACACACACGTGCACAACGAACCAGAAGCCGGCATTTTTTGCACGCAACCACGGCAAGCGCCAAGCCCGCCTTGGGCACCGGCTTGTGGCAGCCATCTTTCAGGCCTTGCGCCTGGCCAGCTGGATGGATGTGAGATTTGGGTGTGGGTCCAAATTCTGAACCACCCGACCGCAATTTGGAGATAAGTCCATGTTTCCATCTAGGGTTCCCCAAATGGGTAACCCATTTGGAAGAGCCATTTGCCAAGTCAGCGTCTGCTGTGATCGCCGATTGGGCTTGCTACCAAGAAGAGGGAACTGCTGAAAAAACCAGACGGAGACCGTATCGAATCTCCGTAATCTTGACCACATCATGAAGCCAGAAGGAAAAGAGACCCGAAAAGAAACACATGCACCCAATCAGCAATGCAAACCACCTGAGTCACAATCAAAACAGATCGGTAGTAAAATGGCCTACCCACTATGCTTCAAGAATTCAAAAGGCAAATATCCACAGCCATCTATTGCTGGGATTGTCCCTGACTTTTAAGTGAGTTATAACCTAGTACACTTCATTGTGGATTGGCCAAAAGTCCTGGCTAGCTTTTTTTTCCCACTAAACGGGGGAGCCAAACCGCAAAAGTGACGCTGAGCGCTAGGAAACGCTCAGGGAGTGAGATCTGTGAATCAGCCACATGTCTTCCAAAACTGCCATGGGGAAGCAAGCTGCGGCATCAACCTCCGAGTGGTCCTCAGAAAGCCGTGCCAAACAAAAAAACAAACAAAATCAAACAACACTTGTCTGGTCCCCGTGCGAAAAAATAGAAGTGCAAATAAGTATCCCCCCTCTTCTTTCTCCTCCCGTATCATTTTCCTGGTTTCTTTCACAGCTACTTATTGTTGTGTGTGATTTTATCTTCGCTCGTCCCATCCACGCTCTCAAAACCAGCACTTTGTCTGAAAGAATGTATTTAAACAGTGCGGGCTGGATGAACGACTTACTTCGAGAGGGACTTGTATGGACTTGTTTATCCCAGGTTGACACTATCTTCTCAAAGAAAGCAGCGCCCCTGAAACCTTGGCGTTGGAAAGTTTGGCAAAGGGTCCTAAAAGAGAGATCCAAACTTAGCTCGAACCAACTGTGCAGAGTGCAGAACACCAGCAAACCTTGAAGCTGGTTAAGTGCAGCGTGGGTCGTTCCCCAGCTCGAGGTTTGCAATGCCGTTCGATGGGCTGCACATTGAACTTGCATGCCCAGCTCCTTTGGGACATGTGGGCAACATCCTGCACCAGTGCACGGGGAAGCTTCTCCCAGTTTACCACCTCGCTCCGGGAAGCTTTTGCGGAACCTCCGAAGAGCACTTCGGCTGATTTTGCTTTTGTCAGCCCAAATAGCACCATACCAAGATCAGTGATCTGAGGATTCCACCAGTTCACCTGTGAGTCATAACGCTCTGCAATGCAACATGCAAGAGCTTTCCCAGATTTTCACCAGACATGCGGATGCTGTGAGATCCGTTCATTGACCCCTGTCAAACAGCAAGGAAGCAAACCCCGGACATTCTGCCGAAATGCTTTAGCCGCTCAATTCAAGCAAGCTGCATGAATTTCCGATTCGCCAAGTTAGTGTCTGTGGATAGCCAATTTGGGTTTTTCACCTCGAGAACAAGATTGACCCCACATCCACAGGGACTTAGAAGTGGGCTATAACCTATAGATTGCGAACAACGTACTGACTGGGCGAATCAAACACCCAAGCCGTCCCAAGACTCTTCCAGCTTGAGCCCAAGGTGTGCTCATGAGTTTCCCTTACAACCAACCTCAAAGGAGTACCCTTGCTCCAAAGGGACGCCTTGTCCGTTGCCATGTTAGTGGGAGGGAGGGTACCGACTCAGGAAAGACCTATGTGGCACGCCAAACCCCCAATCATGGATCCATCCCAGCCCTGCCTGCCAGAGGCACAAGGCCAGGAGCCAGCGCATGGCCGGGAAAGGCTGCGAAGCGTAGTCTAGGCGTGCGGCTGCTCAACGCCTCATAGCTGCTATCCAAAAAAAATACCTCGGATACTGAGAAGGAGCGAAACATGTTGACATATCTTGAGTGAACACATGGTAATACCAACAAAGTATGAGAGTACACACACACTCACTCACACACACACATATATATATATATATATATATATATATATATATTTATACTCATCTTCAACTACGTGTTCTTTATAGTACACATGCACGGCTACTCGGGAGTTGCACAGCCATGGTGGAGCCAACTTGCGGCGCCTCTCGTACCGCTGGAAAAAGACCCCAGGCTCATGCAAAGTACGATGTCCATATGAAAAATCCTTGTTTTGAGCCTCGCGCGGATCAAGACGCGAAACGAAGAACGACGCTCAGAATCTAGCCTGCATGCATCGCGTATCGGCCGAACAGCCGCACGACAATGCGCTGCCCAACTGTCACCAAGGCGAAATATGTTGAAACATGCGAAGCCACTTCAAGCTCTCCAATCGTAACACGCGCACCATCCACCTGGACCCTCAAACTACCCTTCGAAACGGGAAATCACCAACCATAACTTCAAATGGTGCAATAGCACATTTTTCGTCGGGTAGTTTGAGGCTTCATCTAGCCAACACACAAATGAGTTGAAGTCAGGTGGTGGCCTGGGCGAGATTCGGACATGCAAGGGCCAACAAGAAAGACTCGAAAAGCTCCCCTTAAAGGTCGCCGAAAAAAAACGGCGCTTGGACAATCCAAAGCGCAAATGGGTGTGGTTGTCAAACAACGGTACCCAAAATGGGGGCATGGTCAATGGAAAGGACTAAAACCTGCGGCCCATATCCTGGTTTTACTGTGACCCATGCCAAGATCCACCTCGCGTCCCGCGTGGAGTCAGAAAAAAACATGCCAGAGCGTTTGTCGTTTTGAGGTTGGGCCCCAGGAAAATGGGTGGGTGTTCCTCTTGGTTTTCCCTTTAACACAACAAAAGACAGCCCCAGGACTCTTCCGGCTCGGTTTCTTGAAAGCCAAGTAGTAAGCCGCGTATGGCGATGGCTTTCGGAGATCCCAGCGGGTCTTCGCACGACATCGGTACAAAAACCTCCGGAGGCCTGGGCCTGATTTCGTTCCCCTCCCCCAGAAATCACACAACGGCCCCTCAAAAAGGCAACAGACTGAGTAAGCCTTGGGTCAGAGGCCACTTTGGCCTTGAATTCTGTAAGGTAATGTTAACCCTGGATTAATAAACCCCTGGTTGATTTATGGGGTGTCTCCCCCCTTTCATGGGGATTTAATCACTTTTGGAGGGAACACCCCCCTGTTGATGGGATGGGGTTTATTGATCCTGGGTCAACAAATTTCAAGGCTGGCTAAGGTTCTTGGGCTTGGGCCCCAAGTTTCTGGGACCCTGAGACAAACTCTGCGACTGCTTCAAGAAGCACCAAAATTTCCCCTCGTTGGTGGCTTGGGATGGCGGTTGGGAAGTCGGAAACTCATTAGAATGAAACTGGGTGTGAAACATATGGGGGCTGAACAAGGATCTTCCCATGAACTCGTGGTTTGCTGGCGGGAATCTTCTAAACACATATGGGGCAACTTAGCACCGAGCGTTGCAACAGGTCATGGCACTGCCTGAGCATCAGCTCGACTCGAGCAAAAGCAAGCTTCATAGCATGAGCAAGGGCAAGCAAAACCGTTAGATCCAAGCGGTGATAAACCCTGGCGGCTTCAAGATAGTGATGTAAGCTTTCAAACCCAACCTACTGTTTGAAGTGAGTTGATTCTAGGTTTCCTTTTGGAATAGATGGCACTGGTAGATTATCTAGCTGAACCAGTTCCATCTACTTTGAACCGGTCTGACCCAAAATGGAAACCTGCTCTGCATGGTTTAAGCATCCTGCGCTGGCTGGGATGGCTGAAGCCTTTGAACACTCGGATAAACAACCTACCAACCGGTGGATGTTGTTCAAGCACCGTATGGAGTTCCCATTTCCAGTCGTTCCCAACATGGGTCTCCTTTTCGGGGAAAGAACAAAAAAAACGGGCCCTTTAAATGATGGTAAATGATTGGAACCAAACCGAAACCAGTGACCTCTACTCAACCAAACTGATCAAAAAGGACACCTATACCCGAGCTCAACTCGCCAGTGTCGCCGCATGGGCGGGGGTGGAGCCCCCATGGAATCCACCGAATCGCTGAGCTTTTGGAACCTAGGCCAAGCCGAGTTTTTCCAGTTGAACCCGGTCGCCCAGTTCGGACCCATACATGAAAGGCGAATCTTTCTGGGCCCGTGACTGAACATGGACCAAATCAGGGAGACCAAAAGGTCACTGCAAAAGGGCTGCCCTCAGATCCCCCGCTAACAGTTTTACTATTGGCGGGTTAAATGAACACTACCACTAAACACGACAAAACTAAAAGGCTAAGGAACCGGATGGCTGGCAGAGTGCAAGCTTTGGAGTCTCTGCCCAGGACCAAGGGAGGGTTCCGGAGGCTCGCGCCTCAGATGCCAAAATATGCTGATGTTTTTGTATCAGACGGTGCTTGGGGAAACGAGTCGTTGATGCATTCCATGTATTGCCTAGAGTTGGGCAAGAACAGATCCGCGCATCAGCCAGGCTGACGTGGAGAAACGCAAAGCTTCCCAGGAAAATTGGGGATATGTGGAATTGGGGATATGTCTAATCTAGGGTTCCAACACTCCCCTGCAGGTGATGGACTCCGCAAAGGGGTCACCCCCTCACAAAATGTATCTAAGACTATTTATTGGGATCTGTGTTGTAAACAAACCTGAAACAGTGCGTCCATGTGAGATATATCACAACATAAGCCGTTTGTGCTCGCAATATCAAAGCACAAAAAACTGTATGTCTTGCAGTCTAAGCAGTCTAATATCAGTAGCTCATGCAGTCTCAGCACAATAAGTAGCAGCAAGGCGTCGTCTTGAAAATGAACTACAAACCATACTGTGGATGGTTGCGAGATCCGTTTCTCGCACCACTTGAGAAACCCTTGTTGGTATTTACGTTGGGGTATCATCAGAAATCTGGCTTTCTCAGGTGGTGCGAAATGGATTTTGTCCGTCCACAGTTTTGCATTGATTGGTGTATGCTCTCATCTAGTGGTCTAGTGCACATGCTGGCTCCCAGTGTCAATGGTTTACTAGTCTCAAAAAAGCATTCCCAAGAAAGGAGCGTTTCTCATAATTGCAAAAGGCATTCCTCATTTCAAACAATGACCAATGATTATCGGCCTTGCGGTCGCTGCAGAGGTTGGAAATTGAGAAAGATGCGGCGTGTGCAATGATACAACCCGTTGCCCGGCATCGCTACCATAAAATCAGTGCTGAAACTTATAGCTATAGTCTCCATGACCCTTAAAAAATGGTCCATGACCCCTTAATTTTGGGTAATGACCCATTTTTTTAAGGGTCATTGAGTCATGGAGACTCCAGGTATATGCAAGAGTCAGTGGAGTCAAGTTTCGAATGGAAGACACTCTTAGGCCGATGAATCGAGGCGATCGTCCATGTTTGCGTTTCGAAAAAGTATTGGACTACCCTGGGCCAAGGCCCTTTTGCTATTGACACAAACAAAACAACACTTGATTTAAAAGCAAACAAACAAACCAGCAAACCACCAAACACTTGTTCCAGGGCCCCCTGCTCGTGGCGAGGCGACCATCCCGCCTCGCTTTCGAGAAAGCAACTCCGGGCAAGCCACTTCAAGCGCGTTGAATTGCTCTTCGGGTGAGATCCTTGAGTCTTCATGACCATTGAACATGCGGGAATGACCGGAGTTCTTCTACCTTGAGTCTCCATGACCCTTACACATAGGGCCATGAACCCTTTTTGGGTAGATGACCCTATGTTTAAATGCGTTTCCGTGATGCAGTGGACTTAC